GTGGTACCAGGGATCAAACTCAGGACCTTCACTTACCAGGCAGGCACTTAGCACTGAGCTATCTCCCTACCACCTCACGATCCCTTTGGAGGCCATTGGAACCTAAATCCTCCCTCAGGGCCCCACCTCCTGAGCTGAGAATCAAGTCTTTAACACACAGGCCTTTGGGGTATATTCCAGATCTGAACTATAGCACCAGTCCTACTTTGATGAGATTTTCGAGCAAGTTTAGTTGCTACTTAGCATGAAGCCAGTTGCCTAGTTACCATGTCCTGACTGGGTGTCTATTTTTTCTTCTCTAAAAGAAGGGCAATTGTTTGGGGTAGACAGTATCTGATACCTAGTATTCTATCAAAGTAAATCTAAACATTGAAAGATATGACACCAGTTCTTCATGTTTTGTCCCCTTCTTATGCTCCGAAGTTTAGCTCTGTGCATCACAGTTAATAGGACTACTGACCTGTAGGGTCCTTTTAACCTCAGGGTGTGATTCTTGACTAGCATTATGCCTTCTCTACTTTAGTAAGAACAACTGACCACCAGAGGGCAGTAAGAACACCAGGCTTCAAGGCTTGACAAGGTCACAAAAGAACAGCCTGATAGCACATTTAGGCAAAATGCACCTGTGATTCTTGAAATTCTTATTTCAATTATGTCCCTCAAAGTGCTTTACCCGCATGCCTTACAGAGATTCCGTGTTGTGCTAGAAGTCCAAGAGGCCATGACCTCCCACAGCTCAAGGCTAAACTGTGAGTTTAAGAAAGAATGGCTGCCCTTTCTCCCCACGTGGGCCCCCTTTTCACTCGCTGGGCCTGTGATGAGCACGAGGTGCCAGGCACTGTTCTATGAAATCAGGGTGCTTCCATTAACTAAGCAGGGAGCCTGGACCTCAAGGAACTGACATTCTGCGAGGACGAAGCCCAAATGAGTAAGTTATAGTAAGCGTCAGGAGGTGATGAACTGTGAGAGGAATGAAAGGAGATCTGGGCACAGGAGCGTGAGACGCAGGGCGAGACTGCAAATGTAGGCAGAATGGGGAGAACAGGCCTTGGGTAGGGGACACGGGAACTGAGAAAGACAGGCAGTGCAGCTCAGGATGGAAACTGTCCCAGAAGCAGGGAAGGACACAGGGCAGAAGCCTGAGTAGTAAATGAGGTCAGGCTGGGAGAGACGTAGTGTAAACACTCTGTTATACTGAGTGAAGTGGGAACCACTGTAAGATTTTGGAGGGAGGAGACTTCTTTAAAGTGTTTCACCTTAACTGAAAGATGAGAGCAGGCTTGAGGAGCCTGATCGCCTACGGAAGTTTCCAAATACTCAGTTTATCAGTTCATCAAAGAGCATAAAATGTAGGATGGCTGTGACGATCCTGCAAATAGCTGCGGGCTCAGTCACACTCGCCTTGCCACCTGCTTCACACACGTGCTCATTTCATTCCTTCGACACTTAGGATTTTAATTTAACGCACTCTGTTAAAGACAAAGGAGATACGGTAGGGTAAGGTCGTGACTGGCCCTCAGGTTAAGGTAAACAGAACCCGTGGAAGACAGAACTTCCTTCCTAAGCCAGGAACAGTCGCTTCTGTGACAGGTGACCCCAATGGCAGCACTGCCTTCAAAAATCAGTTTCCCTAACTTTCGTCCCCGCTTCTGACTCAGGACTACCTGCAGAAGGCCAAGCGCACCCCGGCCTGTCCCCATCGCCGCAGCGTTCCCCCCTCCACCTGCCCCGAGTTGCTGCTGCCAAGAAGCTAGCGCCAGGGCCTCAGGCGGCCGACTCTGGCTGCCGCGGGCTTCAGAGCTCGGCGGCCTCTCCTCCGGCTCGTTCCCATGTATTTCAGCACGCCGGCCTCCCCGGACAGAGCTGAGTCAGACGCACGGTCTGGGCCTCGGGTCTCCGCCACGCAGGACCTGAGGACAGCTGGTCGCTACACTCGGGGTCAGGAAGGGCTTGGGGCTACGGAGGCGCTGGGGCACGGGCTCATGGCGCCTGGGGAGTGGAGAAGGGACAGTCGCCGCAAGAGCTGGAGATAAGAGTCAAGGGACTCGCCCGAGCGTCCCACGCTCACCGCGGCGGGGCATGGGCGGAGCTTCCCGTGCACGCTCTCTGCGCACGCGCATACCCAGCTCCCGCCCACCAGGGCTGACGTCACATCCGGTGGCCGGGCCGGGCTGGGCCGGGGGCGTTGTCCGCCCGGGTCACCGCTCTGTGGCCTGCCAGGCGCGCGGGTGTCCAGGCACCGCCCGCCCACGCGCGCCCCCGAGGCTGCGGTGCAGCAGCGCCCACTGCCGGGTTTCCGCTGTCTCCCGTGGACCTTTCTCCCCCCCGGGTGTGTTTCCACTGCTGGAGGTGAAGCGTGCAAAGTGGCGACGGAGGGACCTGGGGGCGAGGACCCGGTCGTGCTCAGCCTTCCGGGCCGGGGCGCGCCCGGGCAGCAGGTGGCCCTGACAGGGTTTCTGCCAGCCGCCGCCTTTGCCATCACAGGGCCGTCTTAGAGTGAATGGGTGGCTGGACAACAGGGAACCTTGAGTGCTTTTGAAAAGCACATCCCGGCTCATTCTGTATTTTAATGTTTTGCGTTCTTTTCGTAACTCTTAGCACTGTGTTTCCTAAACGAATCCTCATCTTCGCTGTGACCGAATGGTTCAGGGCATCTTTTCAATAAGGAAGAAACCTCAGGTCATGGGGTTTCTAAAGTAACTGAGCCCTTCTTGCCCCAGCATCTGAAGCGATTGAGTGAGGCAGTGCAGTATTTTTGCAAAAGGCATTACGACTTCACTGTTCTTGAAACACCAACATAATTCGAGTTTTTCTTAATGCGAGATGGCCAACATTTGGAGAGTTCTCGTACAACAGCCGGGGATCATGGAGCTGTTAAGTCTTCGGGCCAGATTTTACCTTGCTTTTCTACCTCCAGTTTTTGGGGTGTCACTTGTCAACTTGCCCGTTCCTTACTCTCTTCTGGTTATAATTTAACAGTGTGGATCCACCGTGGCTTTTGACTTTTGATAGTTACATTTGATAATATTGTGTTTAAAAACAAAATAAGGGAGGAACTTGTGACTTGTTACTTTTTTGTGATTTAAATTTTCATGTTACAAAATACCCACTTTAGAAAGCACAGCTAAGTAAAAGACAATTCAGAGCGTGTGTAACCCTATTATCTAAAGATCATTATTGTTACTATTTTGGAACATAGTCTTAATTTGCAGTGCATATTTTGTTAAACAGTATCTACTGCTTGGTAGCCACTTCCTTCAGCATCGTACACTTTTGCCTGTCTTCCCTTTTCAGTAACTTACTTATTTGCATGTTCTTAATGGCTACAGAATGTCCATTGTCTAAGGACCCTTATGCAGTCTGTTTTAGCAAAGTGTTGTTGGCTTGAGTTTTGGCCAAGGTGCATAGGTGAGGTTGTGTCAGGTGGATAAATGTGAGATTAACATGAAGCCCCCTGCCAGAGCAGGCGCTGTATCATGGTGCATCTGACTAACTGAAAAGGTGGAGAAAATCCTTGGCAGATTTTCCAGTTTGTCATTCTTTGTCTCTAGGTGTTCCTCCCCACCAAGAATGAAACATGACTGAAGACTCGCAGAGAAACTTTCGTTCAGTGTATTATGAGAAAATGGGGTTTCGTGGAGTGGAAGAAAAGAAGTCACTTGAGATCCTCCTGAAAGATGACCCCTTGGGTGAGTTTCACGTGTTTCCTTAAGCTTATAGGTTCAGCTGGGTGTGATGGTGCGCACCTGTTATCCCAGCTACTTGGGAGGCTGAGGCAGGAGGATCAGAAGTTTGAGCCCAGCCCTGGCATCTTAGTGAGACCCTGTTTCAAAATAAAAGCAGAAATGAGCTGGGGTGTAGCTCAGTAGGAAGGCCCTGGCTGCAGTCCACACACACATGCACACAAAAGCTTGTTGGTTGTCAGCCATTGCAACTATTTTGAAATAAATATCACCTTCAGAGACATCCGGGATGTTACTTGTTATATTCCTCAGGGATATGATGACATTGGAATGGTATGTTTGAGAAAAGTTCTAGAATTTTCAAAGTTTTGCTTCTCTGACAGGTTTTTGCAAGGCCTTTTAAACAGTGACATTTGTCCTCGCTGACCCTTTGTGCTTCCTTCAGTTTTAGATATGTCACCATAGCTTCTAGATAAACACGCGGTGACTTCAGTCACGATTTTCTTTTGTGGAAATACTAAGACTGCATCGTATGTCGATATTTTACTTTATCTTAAACTAGTGATAATAAAATCAGCTGTCAAAGTAAAGTAATTTGAACCCTAGTTAAAAATGCTTACATTTGTAGGATGCTATTTATTTGTTGTTTTATTTTGTTTTGTTTTATTTGTGCTGGGGTCAAACCCCAGGCCTCACATTTACAAGGCAAGTGCTGTGCACCTTACCCTCCATAGAGTGCTTTTAAACTTCAGAAACGATTCACACCCGATTTTTGGTCTCATTGTGGCATATGTATTTCAAGTGTGTCTGGCATTACAATGCTGCTTTGACAAGGCCAGGACTGCCAAGTGTGATTTCTTAGGACGTGAGGGCTGGTGGTACACAGCCCTTTTCAGCTGGGTTAACTTGGTGGCTTGCTGGCTGCTTTGAGCTTCTGTATGTTCAGAACAACAATTCCCCAACTAGGCTTGTAATGTGGACAAAATGAGATGAGTTATTTATTAACTACCACTAATGTTATAAGGAAGGTAGTAATATATGCAAAATGCCTCTCGTTCTATAAAATGCTAATTGTTTTAAATAGCTAAGTTGATACAGATCTAGGCTAGAAATCAGACCAATATATTGCCTTTCCTAAATTTGCCAACCATATGGTAGCCTTTCCCTGAAAAAATGTCTCAACTGTTCTTGCAATTAGAAAAAAAAAATGTAGGTGTACGTACCTTCTTTAACCTGAAGAGCTTCTAATTGTTTTTTCTTCCTCTAGATATTGAGAAGCTTTGTACTTTCAGCCAGCGCTTCCCTCTCCCGTCCATGTACCGCGCACTGGTATGGAAGGTGCTTCTAGGTATGAGACCAGAAGTTGAGGAATCTTCAAAGGCGTGGAATAGTGGGGTCACTTGTCATCTCAGTGGGGACGGGTGGGTGTGGTCAGGCCCAAGTCCGCTCTGGAGGCCCACTGCGAAAGGTGTTAGGATGGTGACTTCAGGAATACAGTCACTGTTACTCTAGGGCTGTCAGTTTAGTAGTGATGGAGAAGGAAGTGATATAGGTTCCCTGGATGGCGAGTGGTGAGGCCGTGGGCTGGGAGGCAGGAGAATGGGGCTGCTCTTTGCTGTGAGCCAGGAATTTGGAAAGACCCTCTCAGGCTCATCTTTTGCATCCGTACAGTGATAACATTGAGCTTAATTACTTAGCTCTAAGTTTGTTGTATTTTGTGATTCTCAGAGTAGAGGTGCCACATCTTCATGTGTGCTCAGACTCAAAAGGGAATCAGAGTTTGCTTTCCCCAAAAGTGTAGGAAATGAGCTCTGTTGATGAGAAGGAAATAGACTCGCTTAGTTTTTGTGGAGGGAAAGATGCCACAGGAACCAAGAACAGCGTTTTGGGCCCAAGATTTTTTCCCTGTCCTTGCTGGGCCTCGTAAAGCATATGGTACCCACAGTCACCACCCTCACCACCTTAAACAGTTAATTTACTGTAACTGTAAGATGGGGGTGGAGCTTCGTGTGGGATCCGAAGCGTGGACGCTCTTTTGTAGACCTCGTGTGAAGGTAGGGTAGAGCAGGGACCTCGTTTGCTTTTCCAAATGTAGTAGGTAAGTCATGCGGCAGAGACAAGGCATATGCAAGCCTTTCTAGAAAGCCCTTCAGGATGACTTCACTGAGCATCTTGGCAGCCTTGTGTGCTTCTGTCTGGTAGATCACTCTGCAGTTGCAGTCTACAGAAAAGGTGACGACAGTGTATTTTAGTTTTCCCTAGAGCATTTTCCCCAAAGTCTTACTACTTCCACTACATCAAAATAAACGCCTTCCCCGGGTGAATCTCAGGTGGTCGTGCTGGCAGTGACCTTTTTGTGCTGGGAGGTCCTGTGTCTTATTAGTAACTGTGCTGGATCAGCGGGAGGTACACCGCTGTGCTTCGTGACATTTCCTGAGCACCAAGTCCCATCTGACTTGTTTATCACCTGCGTTTCTCATGCCTTTCATTATCATGTAGGTGACTGCTGTTTTTTGAGGTAAAGACACTGGAAATTCAGAGCCTTTACAGTGTGAAGGGCTCTTCCTAGCAGAGGTTTCTGTGTGTGGGGGATGCAGGTGTGTGTTTCTTAATAGATTACTTATGATCTTTGAGTCCTAGTTTCCTAATATTTTAGATAAATATCAGAAAGAGAGATTTTAGGACCAACCTTTACAAAGTAGTTGAAGGTTTAACATGGGAGCTGCCTGTAGTAGTGTGAAGAAGGTACAGCTGTTTAATCAGCATTGGCCCAGGTATGGAGGACACTGTGTATTCGCTTGGCTTCTCTGAAAGCCAAGCACAGAGCCCCTTAGTTATGGTGAGTAAAGGTTTGTGTCAGCAAAAGGAACATTTAGGCAAGTCAGCAGGACACTGCCAAGCTCACCTGCCTTTCCTTTCCCAGAATGCTGGATCTGGGCTGTGCTGCCTTAGAGTGAGCTGTTGTCGCATTGTGAGCTCACACTGACCCTGGCTCATGGTGGCCAGGAACCCTTCCAAGGGCTTTGTGTCTACTGATTTGTTTATTCATCACAATAGCTGCCTTAGGGAGGGCGTTAGTTTTGCATTCTTCACGATGGGGAAGCTAAGCCACAAGGAGACAGAAGACTGCCTAAAGGCTCCCAATCAGCTAATCACAGAGCCAGGAATCGAGTCCAGGAACTTTGAATTCAGAGCCCAGAGCCCGTGCCTCTGTACAGCTGTGTTATATTGAGTGAGGCTGGCGTACATAACTGTTTTGTCCTATAGCAGAACCGAGAGCTTTGCAAATTCATTGCCACCGTTCCTCAAATCTATTTGATCATATTCCCTTTTCTTATCAAGATGCTTGGGGCTTGGACTCTGCAGAGAACATGGGTGGAATGCTTGCCTGCACCATCTGCCTGTGCTAAATTAGGAAACGAGCCTGGAGGGACAGGCGTGTTTGCGAGAGTCCTGGGCTTAGCTGATCTGAGCTGAGAACCTAGAGCTACTGAAGGCCTGTCCAGCAGTCTTCCCACTGTGTGTTCTCCTTGTCACTCGCTTTGCAAAGAGCTGTGGCTCCTGCGGCAGAGCCTAACGAGCTGGTGCCATGTTTAAATGGAGTAAGGAGCATATAAACTGTCAGAAATGCGGTAAGAAGACCTCATTAATGAAGATCAGGGACTTGTGCAGCCCTGAAGAGAGGACACTTTGTGAACAGTTTTACTGCTGTGGGGAAGGAGGATTGGACAAGCTGGTGGTTCTGAGATGCGGGAGGCCAAGCGCTAAATGTGGAGAGCAGTACAAGGAAGCACAGCCTGACGGCCTCCTTGTGCTTGTTAGCATCCTGAAATTTTGTGACAAGCTTACTTCCGTGACGCCATTTCATTTCTCTTTAACATCAGCAATTAAATATCACCATTCGGATATTGATAATATCTAATGTAAGAGCGTTCCGGTGAGAGTTTCTAAAAGAGAATCTATGTGTTAGGAAGTTTGCGTGCGGCCTGTCCTGTGAGGCTGGCGCTCACAGCGTTCTTTATAATGCAGGCAAGGTTTGGACTGGCGTCTCAGTGTTTCGCCCTTTTGTCCTGGCTCTGTGTAGGGATCCTGCCTCCCCACCACGAGTCCCACGCGCAGGTGATGATGTATCACAAGGATCAGTACTGTGATGTCCTTCACGCCCTGAAAGTGATTCGCTTCGTGGGGGAGGCCACCCCCCAGGTAGAAGTCTTTCTTCGCATGTGTCAGCTGGAGTCCGGGAAGTTGCCTCGAAGTCCTTCCTTTCCACTGGTTAGTAAACAGTTTGCTTGACCCTTAGTTCAACTCTACCCTTCCACCCCTCATTTCCAAGGATAGAGCCCAGTGCCTTTCTCCAGCTGCATCCCCAGCCCTTTTTAAATTTTGAGACAGGGTCTTCCCAGGTTGTTCAGGTGCCCATGCTGGATCAGACTTACGATCAGCTCCAGAGTGTTAGCTCTGCACTGTCACGTTTTGCCAGCCAGCCTTTGATGCATCGTGTTGTGCCCTGAAATGCTCAGTGGTTTTACATTATCAGCAAAATGAAAGCACCCTGCCGTTGTCCAGGTCCACGGCCCTGGACATGCTGATCCAATCAACTTTATTTAAAAAAAATACATTGTATTTTGTTATTTATTTAAATGTGTTTGGTACAGGCTCTCACTACACTACAGAGCTCGGACTTGTAGTGATCCTCCCGTTTCTAGCCTCCCCAGCACTGGGATTACAGGTGTGCACCATCACGCCTGGTCACAGTGGCTGGCTCAGTGCACCCATAGGTGAGGCTGGTGTGGCATGTGGTACAGGGGATCAAACCCTGGTCCCTGTGCTTGCCTAAGGTAGGTGCCTAGTCCGCTAAGCTATCTCACCAACCCAGTGTTTCTGTTATTTTTTTCTTTTTTCTTTTTTTTTTTGTATTTTAGGGAAGGGTCTACAAGGTGTTCAGGGTCTACTACTAGATTGGATTCATAGTGATCCGCCTGTTTACAGCCTCCCAAGAGCTGGGATTATAGGTGTGCGCCACCATGCCTAGTCTCAGTGGCTGTCTCAGCATGTCTCGGGGGTGGGCCCAGTACAGCAGGCCCGGGATTGAACCCCTGACCCCTGCACCTGCTTGCAGGTGCTTTAATCTGCTGAGCTATTTGGCTGGCCCTCCAGTGTTTCTACATACTATAGTCATATTCTATTGCTTTCTGATGGGAGTACATTCTGAGTAATGTAATGTCTCATTCGATGGTGTCATTGTGGTGTGAACACTATAGAGCAGCTGAACTAGAGAGCTGCAGTGCCACTCACTGGGCAGTTTGGAATTATTGGACCACCATCAAGATTTTGGGTCCCTTGTTCCCTAAAACATTGTATATAGCACATGTTCATAATTTCAAAGGTCCAGAAAGCGGGAATTCTACCAAGAATCCTGTAGCCCTTTGTCTGGATTCTCCAGCTGCTAACATTAATGACATCTGCTTTGTCTTCTCCCTGTATGTGTACACATACCTCATCCAAGCCATTTGCAAATAGTATGCAGACATGGGTCCTCTAACCTCAGAGTCCTTCACTTCTGAACATGATATCCTCAGTGGTACAGGCATCAAAACCAAGAAGCCAGAGTTGGTGCAGAATTACCATCTCACCTGTAGACTCCATTCCCATTTGAGTTGTCCCTGTAATGCCTTTTTGTACAAACAACAAAAATTCTGGTTGAGGATTCAGTCTGGGGTAGCTGGGGTGGAGTTGTTATATTGCTTTGGTCACCTTTAATTTGGGTCACTGTCCCTGTTCTTTCCTGCCCTGCACATTTTGGAGGGGTGTCGGTTGGTTATTTTGCAC